TGTGTGTGTGTTGTTTTTGAGACATCGCTCACTGTGTGGCCATGGCTGGTCTTTGTATCTCAAGAGCTGAGATTACAGATGTCCACTGTTTCTACCACGTCTGGCTTTGAGGTCTAGTGTTTTTTCTTTCAACTCTAAGCATTAGGTATGCTAATCTGCTCCCTGTGGAGAAGTGCTGTCCCTTATGTGGACTGTGCTCTGCAGCCCACTCTGCAGCAGTGTGTCCAATGAACCACAAGTGCTCGGAGAGTTTCTGAAGCTCCAGAAGGGCTATGACAAGGTCCATGTGGTCATTCCTAAGCCTGGCCACTGGAAATCAAGGGGCTCAGAGTAGGTGCCAAATGCCATCATGCTGAGTAGGTAAGTGAGCACGTGGGCCTGCTGCAGGAGCGACTTCTCACTGTTTTCTGACTGTATTTTAAAGACAGAGATTTCTAGATGTCTAAGTTCTAGAAAGGGGCTGGATAGCTGGATTGTGGCTATAGTTTTTCAAGTGTGCATTTTCTATCTCCCATGAGCTCTTGGTGCTTCTTTTTCAGTCAACTTCTACAATCAGGTAATTACTTGCTTTGTTTTTGTTTTTAAATAATATCTGTATTGGTTCTTTGTGAATTTCACAGAATGTATTTTGATTGTATTCTGATCCCCTCCCCTATCTTTACTCACATCCTAATATACTCCACGACTGCATGTCCTCTTTTATTATTGTCTTAGTTCATGTTCCCCAAATGCTCTCGAGTATGGGTCCATATCCTCGTGTCTGGTCAACCTACCCAGTGTAATATCCCCGAGCGCCTCCACTTTATGTAAGTTTAACTGGTCAATCATCTGGTCATAGGACCACCCCTAGGAAGGTGGGTTATGCTAAATAGATGGGTGGATACCTAGTGCGTTAATGACACAGTGACTTTTTCCTGCTTATAATCCTGCCTATGGGGGCAGAACTTCCTAGTTACAGCCATGTAGTCTGTGAGTTGCCTGCTTCCCTGAAGAATTTCCTTTTTTCTTCTTCATGCCTTTCTTACTAAACATGCTTTCTGTAAGGCTTTGGGTGGCCCCTGGCATCTTGCATTTCTTTACTTTCTCTAAAGCTTCCTTCTCCCAGTCATGTGGCCGCCAGTCAGCCTTGTGTCTGACCTTCCAGGCAGGCTCTGAACCTGCATGGCCTCATGGCTTTCTTTCTCCCTTCTTTCCATTCATCTCCTCAAGGCAGCTGCCAAGATTACTGGCTCGCCTGCTGTGAGAATTTCTTTTTCTTTAAAATTCTAATAAAATTGTAAAAGCTTAATTCGGCTGATTCGGAACTTTTTGAGTCCGGGTAGTCTTTCCCAGTGGTCCAGAACTCCATAACAACAGCATCATAAACTTTAAGAATACTGTCTCTCCACAGCTATCATTGCCAACAGATCCTCAACTAGGACTGGGGCTTCCTGTCAACCTCCCCTGTCCTTGCTGGGTTTTGTCTGACTTGGGCTCATGCAGATCTTGTGCATGTTGTTACACTGTGCTTTCTTCTTAAAACACCTCTATATTTGGGTTGGAGAGGTGGTTCAGTGGTTAAGAACACATACTGCTCTTGCAGAGGACTTGAGTTCAGTTTCTAACACTAGCATCAGGCATCTCACAAGTGCCTGTTAACTCCAGTTCCAGAGACCTTAGAAACACCCTCTTCTGGCCTCTGTGGGCACCTCCCCCACACACACATACATCACACCCACACCCACACACATACACATACATGTGCACACATATACACATGTATACAGATATATACATAAGTAAAAATAAATACTTTTTAAAAAAATATCTGCCTCCTCCTGAATGGGAGAGGCTCTTATCTAATCATATAATTGGACTCATGGCACAAAACCGTAGAAAAATTATGAGATACCAGGGAAGGAAAGTCCACATCAAGACTTCCTTCAGCCTGATATGCCATACAGCTCTCTTCTTTTCAAGTTTATCAAAGACTTTCCAAGTGGCCTTTTGTTTGACCCTTACAAAAGCCTTCCTTCAGAATGACCACCTGACCCATTATTATTATTTTTTCCTTTATTCTTTTTTTTTCTAGGTCCTTTTTTGGGTTTCTGTTCTAGAATACATAAAAATAAATTTCACTCTGGGAGCTTCCCTTGCTCATACCTGTGTGCTCTGACCATAGTCTACATGAGTCCATAGTCTACATGAGCCCTCGGGACTCATAAAATGTAGATTCTGGTTTAGCAGGTCTGGAGTGGGGCCTGAAATGCACATTTCTAACCAGTTCCCAAGTGACACTATAGTTCACACTGGTCCTGCTGGTCCCACACTCACACTGATTTAGCAGAGGACATGACATTGACCCCGTCAGCCATCTCCTTTGCCCTGCACCTATCTGTGTCTCAATAGCCTTAACCTGTCTCACTCTTCAATATCACTAACAAGCTTGAGACACAGCCAGGACTACACTTGAGTGCTCTTCAGCCCATGTGTTCACTTTTCTTTATCTGGACTTCAAGGGACAAGGGTCAATGAACTCTGAGAACACTCAGATATTTTATCTATTGCTTTTCAGACTCAGACCCTGGCATGGCTTCTTGTTAGCCATCCTGTTACATTCAAAATGGATTGCATATTTTCAAGGAAGCTCCTTCCATGGGAAACTGCCCGGTTTTTCTTTCTTTTCTTTTCTTTCTTTTTCTTTCTTTCTTTCTTTCTTTCTTTCTTTCAGGAAACTGCCCGGTTTTTCTTTCTTTTCTTTTCTTTCTTTTTCTCTTTCTTTCTTTCTTTCTTTCTTTCTTTCTCTCTCTCTCTCTCTCTTTCTTTCTTTCTTTCTTTCTTTCTTTCTTTC